AACCCTAAACCCTAAACCCTAAACCCTAAACCCTAAACCTCCCCTACCTCACCCACCCCCCCCCCCCCCCCCCCCCCCCCCCCCCCCCCTCCCCCGACCTGCTGGACAGACAGGGGCTCAGGCACCTCAGTGACCGCCTCAGGCTGCGTGCGGGTCTGTGAGGTTTAGGGTTTAGGGTTTGGGGTTTAGGGTTTAGGGTTTAGGGTTTAGGGTTTAGGGTTTGGGGTTTAGGGTTTAAGGATTAGGTTTTAGGGTCGGCTTCCCCAAAGCTTGCTGCTTCTCCGGGTTTAGGGTTGAGGGTTTAGGGGTCAGGGTTCAGGGCTTAGGGGTTAACTCCCAAACCCCCCCCCCCCCCCCAAACCCTCACATACAACCTTCACAGATTATACAAAGGGGAGTAGGAAGCCTTCGTGTTTTGACTGGGTACCATACGCTCCCCTCATTGTAGCCCTAAACCCTAAACCCTAAACCCAAAACCCTAAACCCTACGCCAAACAAAGGGACTCAGCAGTCAAATGGTAGATAGAAGGTGTCGGGAAGGGAAGCCTCAAGAGGGGCTCTGCCTCACGAACAACCCTACACTGACACCCTAAACTCGAAACCCTGAACCCCACACCCCTAAACCCTAAACCCTAAACCCCTAAACCCTAAACCCTAAACCCTAAACCCTAAACAATAGTACCAAGAAAGGGATACGAAGGGCTCGGATGAACCCCTGAGTCACCCCAAAGCCTTCTACCCGCAATATGCAGGTTTAGGGTTTCAGGTTTTTGGGCGGGCCATAGGGCTGCCTTCCCTAGATCCGATTTAGGGTGTAGGGTTTAGTCTTTATAGGGTTGAGATAGGTTTAGGGCTTCCTTCCCTAGATTTATCACGGGTTCCCTACTACCCCCCCCCAGGTTACACCCCAGGTTCCCCCCCCCCCCCCCCCCCCTAAATAACCTTAACTAAGCTGAGTTCTGCCTAAAGTAGACTTTTTAGGGTTTAGGGTTTAGGGTTTAGGGTTTAGGGTTTAGGGCCTTAAGTATGGGGGATCTAGGAGAGGGGGGGGGGGGGGTAGTATAGAGGGAGTAGTAGGGGGACCCGGGAACCCATGATATCAGTTCAGGTTTAGGGTTTAGGGTTTGGGGCTTGGGGTTTAGGGTTTGTTCGAGGTTTAGGGCTTTAGACGGTTAGGGTTTAGGGTTTATGTATGGATTAGAGTTGAAGACCTAAGATTTTGTCTAGAGGAATCATGTGCGGTTTAGGGCTCAGGCGTGTTGGCCCTTGGGGGTTCGAACGTCTGTTTGGGGATTGGGGTTTGGCCTTAAGGGATCGACCCCTCACCTAAAAAGCCAAGCCGCCGGAACAACCGCTTGGCCGCTCCAATTCATCATTTTCAGCTGGTTGCGTACAACAACAGCTTGCTACTTTATCAAATTAACTTTGAAAGCTGATTAGAGATTGTATATCGCATAAGCAAATAATTAGTTAACTCGATTAGTATGTTTTATTTTATTATTGCAACTTTAATCATACATGTTATTTATTGGCTTAGTAAAAAGTATGTCATTTTATATACTGAAATTATAAAACAAATCCACAACACTTGTTTAAATTCAAACGGGTAAAGTAAAGTAGCTCTTGATTTGTGGGTTAAGAACGGTTCGTGTCAACGCACCAGTAAGAGCCGGTTGCAGGCACCATGTCAAATGTACGCCGACATGCTGCTGCTTGTGCATGGACGTCTGACGGTACCCTAAACAGCCTAAACCCTAAACCCTAAATCCTAAATCCTAAACCCTATATAAACCCTAAACCCAAGTTCTTCCAGCAGATTGTGTTGAACTTCTTAGCTCAGCACCCCGGCATCTCCTTAAAAAAATGAAGCCGAAAGGACGGACCAGCGCAGAGGGATTTAGTCAAGCGGGTTTAGGGTTTAGGGTTTAGGGTTTAGGGTTTAGGGTTTACTTGGAGGTTCATGGTGCTTATTAACCAGTTATAGCTGTACTTACAACTGTACTTCATGACCCACTTAGGGCACTTAAGGGGCTTATAAGTGGGTCATAAGTGCAGTTGTGATATATGATTATTGGTTAGTAAGTACCATGAACCTCCAAGCACGGTTTAGGGTAGAGGGCTTAGGGTTCAAGGTATAAAGGCCACAAGTCAAACATTGGGCTTCGGGTTTGGCGTCTGGGGCTTAGGGTTTGGGGCACGTGGCGAGTGATCGTCGGACTTCTTGGTACCCTACGCTCTAAGGAGCATATGACACTTTGGCGCCAAGCAGCCTCATACATTGAAGGATTGCAGACTTTAACCCTCAGCCCTTCACCTTAAACCCTGTATGAGGGCCCTATTATGTCCTGTCCCAACAGATCCATGTGCAGGCACAAAGATATACTTTTCAGGTACATGAAAGCCTTTCGGTGGGCTCCGGGCTCAATAACCCAGCCCCCACCCCTAAACTTGTGAAGGCCTCCACCCTCGAACCCCCAAAGCCACCCTAAGCAATAAACCCTAAACATCCCTAAACCCTAAACACTGCCCTCAACTCTGAGCCCGAGTGCCCTATAAGACCTAAAGCGAAGATCCACAAAGCAACCTTTCCATCCTAGATGCGTTGACATGTACTGGCCTAAGCGTATCTTTGGTGTGCGGGTGGGGGGTGAAGGGGGCGTTGAAAGGATACTTACTTGCGGGGTCTCGGGGGGCTTGTCGGTCTTCAGAAAAAGGTGGCGGCTTGGGACAGATCACGGTTTACTGAGCGATTTTCAGGGTCCAGGGTTTAGGGTTAGGGGAATTTGGGACTTTATAGTTCAAGGGTCCATGCATAAGCGTATGGGTATTTCCCAAAATAGGGGTACCCCTTTCATACCCCCAATAGAATAAGAATTCCCCCTTAAAAGGACCCCCAAAAAGGGTACCCCTATTTCGTCAACCACCATATAATCGGACTACAACCCAAGAATACTACGTAGGTACGCGCTCTCTGGGTTGGCATGAGTCTTGTGGCTTCTTTAGGGTCGCCCTAAACCCTGAACCCTGAACCCTAAACCCTAGACCCTAAACAGCACTCTTACACTGGAAGGTCCTGGAGTGGCCTAGGAATACCAAGCTTCAATGGTGCTTAGGCGTTCAGCTTGCTAAAGGAACCAATAACTGAGCCAAAGAGAGAAAAAGGGGCCCACTCTGTGGTTTAGGGTTTAGGGTCTTGGAGTCCTAGGGTCCTAGGGTCTTAGGGTCTTTATTAGGGGCTTAGGGTAGCCCCCCCTCCCCCCCCCAACAACACAAACCACGAACTTCACGAACCAAAAGCTTCCCTCAAGCGTGCTGCGTGCGGCCTGAAGTCAGCAGAGCCGGTTCAGTCTCTGACGTCTTCTACAGAGTTTAGGGTTTAGGGCCTTAGGGCTTATAGGGTTTAGGGTTTAGGGTCTAGTGTGCGGCGTCTGGAGTTTGGTGATTTGGTGCATGGGGCTGGAGTTTAGGGTTTGTTTCCAAGGGTTGAGAGCTTTTAGGGCACTGGGCTGTTCGTACTGGGGACGCGCAGCCGCGAAACCCTAAACCCGCCGGAACGATGGCATGACCCTGGACCAGCTGAAGAGGCCTCCGGCGCACTCCGAGGGTTTAGGGTTTAGGGTTTAGGGTTTAGGGTTTAGGGTTTAGGGTTTAGGGTTTAGGGTTTAGTTTACGTTTTAGGGTTTAGGTCTAGGGCTAGGGTGTTTAAGGGGTCTTGGGGCTGACGGTCTTCTGTTTGCGTGCGTCCTGAGCAGCTGAAAATAGCTGCTGGGCACATGTTCTGCGAACCCTAAACCCTAAACCCTAAACCCTAAACCCTAAACCCTAAACCCTAAACCCTAAACCCTAAACCCTAAACCCTAAACCCTAAACCCTAAGCCTAAACCCTTGACAGCCCTAAACCCCAAGCTTTGGCCGACTTTTGGTCGCAACTTTTGGAAGCACAGCAGGACAGCAGGACAATCAATCCCAAAGGGTTCCACGTACCCAGTATATTTAGGGTTTAGGGTTTATAGGGTTTATAGGGTTTATAGGGTTTATAGGGTTTATAGGGTTTATAGGGTTTATAGGGTTTATAGGGTTTATAGGGTTTATAGGGTTTATAGGGTTTATAGGGTTTAGGGTTTATAGGGTTTATAGGGTTTGGGGTTTAGGGTTTGGGGTTTAGGGTTTAGGGTTTAGGGTTCTATATACCTTATCTGCCCTATACATACTAATCAGACCCCTTTAAAGGAGGTAAGGGACCACATTAAGGTCCATGAAACTACCCTCGGAGGTGGTGATCCTAATGGATCCTATGCAGTTTACGCGCCCACACGCGCGTTCAAGTACCTTTGCCGAGCGCATCCATTTCTCAGCCGCCCCGCTGCTGGATGTGTAATAGAGGGGCGTTAGTAATCAGAATAGGGGTTTGGGGTATTATGGTAGAGCTATGTAGGGACCGTGAGGGAATACTATTCGCAATTGATCCGACCCCATGCCTGCCTTCAACCTGAACATCCGCAAAGTAGAAGGCTGGTGAAACTCGAGAGAGATTCTTTGGCTTGGGTAGCAGAACCTCAAAGCACTGGACAGAAACCCGCACAACCGCGGGCCGTATATACCCTGCCAAACCTTCTCCAGCTGTGCACCACCCTGAAACAATCCTTGGCGGAACCACGATTTCGCGAAACTGTAGGGTAGTTGCCACCCCGAAACCCTAAACCCTAAACCCTAAACCCTAAACCCCAAACCCCAAACCCTAAACCCTAAACCCTAAACCCCAAACCCCAAACCCTGAACCCCAAACCCTAAAACCTGAACCCCAGAAGCCCAGAAGCCTGGCAGCCCCAGGCTCTAAGCCAGCAGGTCCTTCCCTGAAAAACGACTCCGAATCCTTACACACCGAGCAGGCCCTCAACCCTAAACCTTACAAAGCCTAACCCTAAACCCTAAACCCTGAACCCGAAACCCTAAACCCTAAACCCTAAACCCTAAACCCAGGTCGTCTTTTGACAGCGAGCTCATCGCAGCGCGTTCGGCCGTGTCAACCTCCGCGGCCTGCGGTGGTAGGAGGGTGCCCTGGAAGGTACAGGTTTACAGGAACTTTGGGTATAGGGTATAGGGTACAGGGTTTAGGGCTTAGGCCTTAGGGTTTAGGGTTTAGGGTTTAGGGTACAGGGTTTAGGGTATAGGGTTTAGGGTTGAGTCATTTTCGTTGTAGGGTCTAGGGTTTTGCAGGGTACACAAGGGGCATATACGGGGTGAAAGCTCATGAAACGTGAAGGCGCAGGCCTTAGGTGCCGCAGTTGCCTTAGGTGCTTAGGGGTTTGGGGGTTGGGGGGTTTAGGGGTTTAGAGGTTTAGGGTTTTGGGTTTAGGGTTTAGGGTTCATGCGTATGTGTATATATATATATATAGTACGTATGGTCACTTGTCTGTAATATGGGTCCCCTTTTGGGATCCTCATTAGAAGGCGCAGTAGCGTCATAAGGTTTGGGGTTCCAGGGTTGAGCTTTGGGCTTCTAAGGCTTTGAAGCCTGTAAAGCCCTAAACCCCTTAAACCTAAACCCTAAACCCTAAGCCCTAAACCCCCCTAAACCCTAAACCCTGAAGCCCAAACAAAAAAATGAAAACAAAAAACAAAACGCCAAAAGCCGAGGGGGCTCCTGGGCTCAGACTTCCCCAAGACGTCCGGATGCTGTGGGCCAGAGCTGGTCCAGCCAGTCACCTAAACCCACGGTCTGGAAGCTAGGGTTTATAGGGTTTAGGGTTTAGGGTTTAAGGTTTAGGGTTTGGGGTTCAGGGTTCAGGGTTTAGGGTTCATGTCATGTGTACTTAGAGGTAGGGGTCTGGGGTTTTGGGGTTTTGGTGGTTTTGGAGGATGTGGGGTACAAGGGAGGCATCACTGGTGCACTTGAGGTGAAGGTGGGATCATTGCGAGGGTAGGAATTTAGGCTTCATCAAGGGGGTGTAGGGTTTCAGGGCTTAGGGCTTAGGGCTTAGGGCTTAGGGCTTAGGGCTTAGGGCTTAGGGTTTAGGGTTTAGGGTTTAGGGTTCAACGGGCAAGGGCTTGAGGGGCTCACCTTGTGAGTCTTTGGCTCACAAAGGGGCGGTAGTAGATTTGGAGCAGCATTGAAAGTTCTCGGTTTAAGCCCTCTAAACCCTCAACCCATTTAGGGTTTAGGGTTTAGGGTTTAGGGTTTAAGGGTACCCTAAGCCCAAAAACCCCACAAAAACCAGAACAGTCGGGTTGAAGGATCCGCTTAGCGTTTCGGATGTAGTGGCATTCTTCAGCGCGCTCAGACATTCTACCCTGGTAGCCAAGGATTTCAACAGGCAAACCCGCAGGCTCCATGTGTAGTACGAAAATGGAATTAGGGTTTAGGGTTTAGGGTTTAGGGTTCCAAAAGCCATGTGGTATGGTTGTTGGATACCTAATTCCAAAAAAGTACGTACTGCAAGGAGCCCACGACCTGCCAAAAGGGTACCACTGGGCTACCACCGCTGATTCCAACGCCTGCAACCCAGCTTCCTGCATTCGGACGGCCACCAAAATGCCAAAACCACTCCTACTTGCTAACTTCATGGACGCGGTTATAGGGGCGAGGGGTATGGGGGGGGGGGGGGGGGGGGAACCCGAAACCCTGAACTCTTAACCTGAAGCCCTAAACCCTAAACCCTACAACCTAAACCCTTGATTGCAAATGTAGCCTGGATGCTAAGTGACAATGAAAGCCGGACATGCGGGTTCATGCGCAAATGTATGGGAGATTTCGGCCTTCTAAACGGGGTTCCTGTAAGGCACCTTTATTGAGGTCCCAAGTTTTATTCTGCAATTTTGGCACATGGACCCCTTTGGGTACAGTCTCATGTACATCCTGCGTAAACCTCAAAAATCTTCGAAGTGGCCTAACACTCGGAACCTAAACCTAAACCCTAAACCCTACACCCTACACCCTACACCCTAAACCCTAAACCCTAAACCCTAAACCCTAAACCCTATTGCAGCCCTGGGGCGAGCCATGCCAACTTTTGCACCTTCCGGCACACAAGGAACTTAGGCTTTAGGGTGTAGGGTTTAGTTTTTTTGTTTTCTAGGGTTTAGGGTGCTTAGGGTGTTTAGGGTTTTTTAGGGTTCTTAGGGTTCTTAGGTTTTTTCTCAAGTTTTTTAGGGTTTTGAGGGTGTTTAGGGCTTGGGGTACCCAAACCCTCCACCCCAAACCCTCTACCCCAAAAACTCTAGGGCTCAGGGTGCCATTAGGGCTTTTTAGGTTTAGGGTTCATACCCTAAATGATAAACCTTCACCTGCAGGAGGGCTTTGGCTTGTTTAGGCTTCGGGTTTAGGCTTGAAATAAACAAAAGGAATGTACATGTGTATATTATATATATATATATATATGCTACCCCCCCCCAGCGACCTACCCTTTTTAGGCCTTTTTAGGCCTTTTTAACAAAAAATAACAAAGAAGGCCCAAAAGTCGCGTAGTTAATCACCGGGTAATGAAGGACAGTTACTGGGACACCCACCTCACAGACCCCGATAAGCCAGCATTGGAAGAATCTACATTTTGAATCTGAAGCGGACAATGCTGTTTTTAGATGTTTAGATCAGTGGTTTTCTATGCAAATTGTGCGTTTCAAGGGCAATTAATGTTTTGTTGAGCAACTAATTTATTTATACAGTTGTGTTTGTACGAGGCAAAGTAGTAATCAAATAGTGAAACATTTTTCTTGGTTCTATGCGAATTTAGCTACTAGAGTAATTATCAAGCAAAAAGCCCAATTTGACTCAAATGAATACTATTTAAAGGAGCATACTCAACCAAGATACGAAATAAACACCATTCTCAACCAAAAAATGGCAAAGTGCGCGTTTAAAGTGCAAATACTGTATTTATACAATTGTGTTTGTACTAGGCAAAGTATGCTCTCTGAAATGTCCACTGAAATACCTTATGTTTACATATTCATGAATCGTTTTTGTTTTTGGAAAAATCATTTTATGCGAATTTAGCTACTAGAGTAATTATTAAGCAAATAGCCCAATTTGACTCAAGTGAATACCATTTAAAGGACCATACTCAACCAAAATACGAAAGAAGCACCATATTCAACCAACATATGGCAAAGTGTGGTTTAAAGGGCAAATAGTGCTTTGTTGAGCAACTATTGCATTGAAACAGTTGTGTTTATACCAGGCAAAGTATTATTGAAGTACTATCTGCAAGTCAAATGAAACACCTTATGTTTACATATTCATGAAACATTTTTTTTGAAGTATTCTATGCGAATTTAACTACGAGAGGAGTTCTTAAGCAAATAGCCCAATTTGACTCAAGTGAATACTATTTAAAGGACCATACTTAACCAAATACGAAATAAACACTTGCGGAAATGGAAACGGTTCTACCTACATAACAATGAGACAAAGATTGCTGAAGTATTCACTAAAGACCACTTATATACTATGTCTGAAAAGCACAATTTGCATGAGCAAGCTAAAAAATGCACAATAATGGAAATACAAGCGGTTCTACTTACATAACGATGAAACAAAGATGTCTGAAGTATTCAATAAAGACCACATATATACTATGCCTGAAAAAACGCAACTTGCACAATCAGGCTTAAAAAATGCACAAGAATCCTAGAAAAGTACTTAGTGAAGGCCATACACAAGCAAATTCACAAATACATAAAAACATCCAAAAGCGCAAGCTTTTCAGGAGAATCTCTGGTAAAGTTTGGATTATAGGGTTTTGGGGTATTCCTGGACGAGTAGGAGTCACTTTTTAAGCAAACAATTCTAAGCAATAAATGCTTTTTCTCAAGACAAGCATTGCAAATGCTGCTTCTAGATAATTAATCGCATTTACCAGGCAAATATTATCCATGCGAATTGAGCTACCAGAGCACCAAGTAATGGCTGAATAAGGTCTACTACACTTGAGTACAACCAAAAGATGCACTAAACACTAGCGGCTCATGACGAAACAAATAGTTCTGAAGCACTAGAAAGACCACTTGTATACTGCACACTTAAAAATGCGTAGTTGTTGCCTCGTGACCGTGAAGGCGAACCAAAAAGCCAAAATACCAAAACCAAAAAACCAAAAATACCAAAACCAAAAAAACCAAAAAAAACAAAACCAAAAAAACCAAAAATACCAAAAACACCAATTTTCCGGGACTCTTGGAGAAGCCTCATAGGGATTTCCTGAAAGTCCCGCAAAATTGGTTTTTTTGGGATTTTTGGTTTTGGTTTTTTTGGTTTTTTTGGTTTTGGTTTTTTGGTTTTTTTGGTTTTGGTATTTTTGGTTTTTCTACTGTCCCGTGTATGCGATTTTAATTGTACTTTTGTCTACGCCCTAGGAAATACGCTATATTGCACACCGAGTTTGCTTGCAGTGCAGCTGGGTGACTTGAGACAAGGCGAAAAAGGGTAGGTCACTGGGGGGGGGGGGTACCATATATATATATATATATACATTTATTTATTTATATTTATGTCTGTATGATAAACAAAACCTAAAATAGACATACTTCTGTATGTTTATACACCCAAGTGTCAAGGCACATGCGCTCACCTGCAAGTCATACTTCGCTGGCTATCGCTCGAAAATTATGGCCACCTGCCGTTTTCAAACCGACCATAGAAGGACGGACCATGATTTATAGATTGGCCACATAGAACTCCGGACCTTTCGCGGGGGGTCTCCTTGTCTTCGCCAATCTTCCAGGGTTGAGGGCTTCGAAATCATCCACCAGACCCCAAATCCTATAAGCTCAGTACCAGACATCCTGCACAAGGGTTTATGGTGTAGGGTTTCGGGATAAACCCCAGACCCCAAACTCTATAACTGAAGTGCATCTCCTGCGCGATGCTGTCTGACATTGGTTTTGGCTTTAGGCATGCAAGCTCAGGGTTCACAACGCCGTAGAGCTCAACTCTTTGAACCAGGGTCTGGAAATTCAGGTAATACACAAGTATCTTATATATATATTATATTCATTATTCTTATCCTTATTATTATTGGGTACAAGATGATAACAGGTTATAATATTAATTACATAATATCTAGTATGTGTATATATATGTATATATCACGTATACCATATCTAATATTTACGTATGTACATTGTTATTATTGGTAAGAATAACAGTAATAATAATACTCAGAACAATAATAAAAATAATAAAGCATCATGTATGCTACATAATATGTAATATAATTTACAAGATATTGTTTTATGATACAATACATAATATATAACATACACTATCCAAGGTATACTATAACAATAATAAACATCATAATAGTACATTAATCAGAATACTACTAATATTAAGAAATAGTTTTTATCAACAAAACTACTAATAATAATAAGAAGAACAGTAATGCACCACATGGTTTCATATACATATATATATAGATATATACAACGCATATCTACATATCTATCTATCCATCTATAGGTAGCTAGTAGATAGATAGATAGATAGATAGATAGGCAAAATGCGAGATAGACTTTGCGATGTTCTGAAGCTCCGATAGTCCCAACACATCGCACCCCCCCAAAAAAATCCCAAATTGCGGCCGACCTCTCCATCCCGAGACTACCTCCAATCCCCCGAAACAAGATCTTCTCACTATGAAGCGCCCTTTTGGGGTATAAAATCCCATCCTGGCAAGCTCTCAACGTTTCATCCACTGTAAACGCCGAAATGCTCCGTGAACCCTCAACCCTCAACCCGCGCAGAACCTCCGAACGCCCACCAGGGTTTAGGGTTTAGGGTTTAGGGTTTAGGAGGTTCAACACGTGGCTTCTGTATACCTTATCACGACGTGCACGCTGAGGATAGTCACGGTGCTCTGATCAACTCCATGCCAGACCCTAAACCCTAAACCCAAAACCTACACCCTAAACCCTAAACCTTAAACCCTAAACCCCCAAACCCCACCTGCCGTTCGGCCGCGCTTGGCCCAATCGAGGCTTGTTGGCGTTGGAAGGCGACTCTTGACTGATACACCTTACATGGGAGCTTATCTTAGGGTTTAGGGTTTAGTGTTTAGGGCTGATGTCTTAAGAACCCCAGAAAAAAAGAACACATTCTTCCCTATAAGGGCAATAAGGGGATTATCTACTTTCTTCGTTTTTGGGGTTCTTAGTAGCTATCAGGGTGCTTTGGGGTTTCCCGGATTCATGAGGAGAGTTTAGGTTTGAGGGTTGAGGGTGTCGTCTATCCGGGTTCTTGGGGTTTCTAGGATTCCTAACTTTTCTGGGGTTCAGAACGTTTTTAGGCGGTTTAGAGGGTTCAGGAGGGTCAAAGGCTTTGTAGGGCTTCTAGCTTCATGAGGTTTTCAGGTGGGTTTATAAGCTGGGTTCTAAGTTTCCCATGCGCCAATCTAGCATATACGTGGCCCCTGAAGCTGCTGTATCGGGGCCACCCCTGTAAGGCCTAAGTATATACTTTTTGGGGGTTTCTTACTTGCTGAATTCAGAAGTACACTCTCAGTTCTATAGGGGGTTCTAGTATCCCACAAAGTGTAAAGTGTATTCATTCAGCTACTAAGGTTTTGGGGGGTCCCGTGTTTTTTTTTGTGTTTTTCCTGTTTTTTTGTCAAATGTAAGGCACGAAAGAAAGGAAGGAAGGCAGGAAGGCAGGAACACAGGAAGAAAGAAAGAAAGAAAGAAACAAAGAAAGACAGAAAGGAAGGAAGCAAGAGGAAGAAAACATAAGGAAACAAAGAAATAAAGGCAGGAATAGAAAGAAAGACTGCAAGAAAGAAAGAAACACAGGCAGGAATAGAAAGAAAGATAGAAATAAATACAGAAAGAAAGAAAGGCAGGAATAGAAAGAAAGACAGAAAATCAAGAAAGAAAGAAAGAAAGGCAGGACTAGAAAGAAAGACAGGAAGAAAGAAAGAAAGACAACAAATAAAGAAAGAGAGAAAGCAAAAAGGAAAGGCAGGAATGGAGGAAGAAATAAAGGAATAAAGAAAACACAAGAAAGAAAGAGAGAAACAACGACAGCAAGAAAGCAAGAAAGAAAAAAACAAAGGAAGGAACAGAGGAATAAAGTAAAGAAAGAAATACAGCAAGACAGAATAATAAAATCAATAAAGAAATAAAGGAAGGAAGTGAGGAAGAAAGAAAGGAACAAAGAAAGAAAGAACGAGAGAAAGAACTAAAGAGAGCAAGGAAGCAAGAAATACCGAAAAACACGAACGAAATGCATAAAACAAAAAAAGAAAGAAAGGAAGAAAGGAAGGATGGAAGGAGTTTAGGGTTCCGCTCGCTTCGCACGTTCTTGGTTGACCCTAAAGACCCTACGCCTTAAACCATAAACCCTAGACCCCCAAAACCCGTATGTGGAACCTGTGAGGATACAACAAACGCCCTTCGGCACAGCGGCCGGGCAGTAGTAAACCCGAAGGATTTAGGTTTGTAATTAGGGTTTAGGGTTTGAGTGTTTGAGGTAAGGGATTACGGCTCTAGCCGGGGTCCGGTGTTGTTTTTGCCTAGCTGTTAGATCAAACAATCCCATTTGAAAACTATTGTGTTTGCAAACGGGGGGGGCTGCGCCCCCCCCAACCCCCCCGCTTTTTTTTAAGCCACCGAAGCGTGCTTCTGGTTCATACGGGATTGTGTCTGCAAATGGGGAATTCCCGGTGTGCAAGCGTGCTTTTAGTCTTTAGTTCAACGAATCGCTCCCAAAACTCATTTTGCGAACATCGCTTTGCAAATGGGGGGGGGGGGAGTGGGGGGCCCCAAACCCCCCCGGCTTTTTGAAGGCGCGCAAGCTTGCTTTAAGACAATAAGAATCCCGTCCAAACCCATCATGCGAGCACCATGTTTGCATTATTTTTTTTGGGGGGGGCGGGGTTGCTACCCCAAGGGTCATTAGATGTGGTCAGGTTCCGGACATGCGGTACCGCTGAGGAGCCTGCGGAAGCTGAAAACCAGCAAAATTCACCAAAAAAACCAGGAAAATACACGGAAAAGAATTCCAACCAGAGGAGGAGGATAGGCAGAACCAGAGGGCATGTTCAAAAAACCAAAAGAAAAGCAAGGAAAAACAAAACAAATCACAAAAAAAAAACAGAAAAAATGACACACAAAATCCTCGCTCCTGGGTGGGCTCTTTTGGGTGTCTTCTGGGCAGGATGACCAGACTTTGGGGGGTGTTCATAATCCAAAACCCCAAACCCCAAAACCCTAAACCCAAGGCTACCTAAAGTAGAGCAGCACAAGGCGAAGTCTCCGTAGTTAGAATCAAGGGGTACATACTTGGGCCTGAACAGGGGCTCCTATATAGTAGCAACTTGGATTGGTACATGTACATACCCCCAAACCCTAAACCCCAAACCCTAAAACCCTGAACCCAAAAATCAAAAAAACATGGGGTCTAAGTACATACTAGGTTGGTGCGTGAACCCTTTGGGTAGGTTCAATGGTAGGTTGAATGCAATTATGCAGTGGGGTGGTGAGATTCGCACCCCGGGGTCAGTCAGTTGTAGCGACTTCTCCTCAACCCTAAACCCTAAACCCTAAACCATAAACCCCTGAACCTGATCATTGAGGGAGGGGAGGGAGGGAGGGAGGGAGGGAGGGAGGGAGAATGGATAGCAGCTTATTATTGCTGCAGCCGCCCGCACTCTTATCATGGAACAACTCCTGAAGCTAGCGCTCCTCTGTCAGGAAGTTCGGGACATCTAGGGATCAGATCGGGCGCTTGCCCTAATATCTCCACCCCAAAGTCCAAACCCCAAACCTAAACCCTAAACCCTAAGCCCTAAACCCTAAACCCCAAATCCTAAACCCCAAACCCCAAACCCTAAACCCTAAACTATAAACCCTAAACCGCGGGGCACCTGCAGCTTCAGGGAACCTTCAGTGAAGAGAGATTTTCGGACGCCCCTGAAACCAAGGAGAACCAAAAAGGGTTTAGGGTTTAGGGTTTAGGTTTAGGCTTCAGGGTTTAGGGTCTTTCATTCGTAGCAGGGTTTAGAGTTTAAGGTTTAGGGTTAGGATTTTGGGTTTCGGGAGTAAGGATACCACCGGGGCGTCCTAGCTGTGGGTCGGAGACTCAGTGGACCCCCCAAAAGAGCTGCAGCTTTGGTTTCATAAGATTTGGGTTGAGGGTTCATGAGCCCGACGCCTTCGACCCTCGACTTGAAACACACCTTGCCCTAATCCCTGCTTGGAGGTTCATGGTACTGAGTAATCCAATTATAGCTGTACTTATACACCACTTATCACCCTGCCAGGGTACTTATCAGGGGCTTACAAGTGGGTTATAAGTACACACATAATTGGGTTTCTAAGTACCCTGAACCTCCAAGTAGTCCACGAGTTCTGAACCCAAGCCCCCTAAATAAACCCTAAACCCTAAACCCTAAACCCTAAACCCTAAACCCTAAACCCTGAACCCTGAACACTGAACCCTAAACCCTAAACCCTAAACCCCAACCCCAAGAACCTGGTGATCAGGTGATCAGCCATGGCTGGCTGCAGCCTTGGCGCACAGCTGCGGGCCACCAACTCATCCATCCTCCGGGGTTTAGGGTTTAGGGCTTAGGGTTTAGGGTTTAGGGTCTAGGGTTTAGTTTAGGGGTTTAGGGAGAGCCTAAGCCCTTAAGCTTCTCCCTAAACCCATCAGGGGCGCATGGCCAAGAGTTTCCTTCTAAACCCTAAACCCTAAACCCTGAACCTCTTCACGTTGCAGATAAGAGTCTGTTTCCGGATACGGTGAATTCGGTACTGTCGGCTTGGATGGCTTAGTTTAGGGCTTAGGCATGGGTGTAGGGCGGCTCAGGGTCTAGGGTTTAGTGTTTAGGGTTCAGGGTTTAGGTAGGGATTAGGGCTCAGGGCTTAGAAAATTTCAGGATTTAAGACTCAACCCATACAAATGATAACCCTATGAATCCTCATCTGAAAGCCATCTGGTCCATGCTTTTGGGTGCTGGAGGAACCGTCTCAGCCCGGCCAACAGGCAGCAACGCAAGCCTAAAGCCTAGACCCCTGATCCCTGGACATCGTCAACCCTAAACCCTGAACCCTAAACCCTAAACCCTGAACCCTAAACCCTAAGCCCTAAACCGTAATCCCTAAACCCTGAACCCTAAACCCTAAACCCGAAACCCTGAGCATAAACCCTCAAGCCTGCAGCTTGAACTCCCACCCCTGGACCCTCAACCCTACGTCATCCGTAATAACCTTCAAGGCCTCCCTAAACCCTAAACCCTAAACCGTAATCCCTAAACCCTAAACCCTAAACCCTAGGCCCTAGACCCTAAACCCTGAACCCTAAACCCCAAACCCTAAACCCTAAACCCCAAACCCCAACTGGCAAGGTGAACCTGCGCCGATCGTCTTCCCTGCAAAGGGGGGCGAAAGCCGGGGCCCGGCTCTAGGGCCTATAGGGCCTTAGGGCTTTAAGGGCTTATAGGTTTTAGGGTTTGGGGTTTAGGGTTAAGGGGGTTTAGGGTTTTAGGGCTTGTAGGGTTTAGGGTTTCGGGTTTATAGGGCTTAACGGGCTTATAGGGCTTATAGGGCTTGAGATACTTCGGGAAGGGCGGGCTTGGCCTATGCAGGGTGGACGTTGAGCGGCTACCAGGGGATCTTCTTTTCATAAGGTAAAGCGGTGTTGGTGCGCCAAGGTGTAGAACTTAAGCTGCTCGTCCCTTCACTGGAGCTATTAAAATCAAGAGATTTTTCCTTTCAAGGAAGGAAGGAAGGCAGGGGGGAGGGGGGGGGGGGGGGGAGGGGGGGGAGGGGGGGGGCGAGGGGGAGGGGGGGGGGGGGTATACTGGGCAAAATTCGAGGGCAGTTTAGGTTTCTCGGCGAGAACCTAAACCCCAAACCCTAAACCTTTTGAGATGACATGACTCCCGAAATCAGGAGGCTGCACCATAACGATGACCCAGACAGAACCATAATTTTGAACCGTATACTTGGTACTTGGTAGCCTTTTCCGGGTTGGTTACTTTAGAATTAAGGGAACCTTGAACCAACAAAAAGAGAACGGTACCACTGTGCTACCAAGTACAGGACATGACGCGCATGTTATACAGAGCCTTCGCCGCAAGCAATATAGGGGCCCAGTCGAAGAGAGCGGACATGCTGTGTGCTTTCGTTTCTTTAATGACGACCGGGGCCTACTATACCACAAACCGCAAGACCAACCCTACACCCTAAACCCTAATAAGCCCGAGCTGATGCTAGAAGAGGCCCAACGCTTGGCTGAAAACAGGAATTGCCATGGAAGGCTTGGGAATAGGAGCACGCCTGAGAATTTCCAAACCTCCTCTCCTTCCGGGATCAAATTTCGAGGTAACCAAGACCCTTAAGGACACCATATTTGGGTCCTCTATGATCCTTGCTTAATCCCGAATCCAGTCCTCAGCACGTCCATCATGTGATGAAGTTTCCGCTGATTTGCCACCCCCTGTCACAATGGGTTTAGGGTATGTAGGGACCAGGGTCCGAACCCCAAACCCAGAACCCCTGGCTTCTGAGTGTAAGGGCAATGTTGGGGTACCCCTAAGCCCTAAACCCTAAACCCTCAACCCACTGGATCCGGATTTGGCAGCTCTTTACCAGCCCAGGGTTGAGGGTCCCGACGAGGATGAACATTAAAAGGGGGCTTGGGAAGAAAGTGCAGGGTGCTAACCCGGAAAGATTTAGGAGCTTAGGCCGGCTTAGGGGTTCGGGTTGAGGGTTTAGTAGTTTTAGGGTACAACAAATACCAAACCCTGGAAACCCCCTTGAAACCCAACAGGGCTAAACCCTAAACCCTACATCACAAATAAACCCTGAACCCTAAACCCGAAACCCTAAACCCGAAATCCTAAAGCCTAAACCCTAAAGCCTAAACCCTAAAACCCTAAAGCTGTACATAAACCCCTAACTTCAGGATGAACCCTACAACCTTATGTGCGCTGTAAGCTCTTGCACGCCTAAAAAGACTAGGGTTTCGGGTTAAGGGTTAAGGGTTTAGGGTTTAGGGGGGTTTCGGGTTAAGGGTTTAGGGAGTTTAGGGTCTGAAGCCCCCCCCCCCCCCCCCCCCCGGATGTTCGGTTTAGATTTTCTTTTATGCTTAAAAGGGACTCTGCACTTCCAGCCCACTGGTTTAGAGTGTATGGGTTAACTAGGATTTAGGGTTTAGGGTTTTAGGGTTTAGGGTTTATGAAACTCAACACAGCACAGCCGGGGAAAAGCACCAACGCGGTTGTGCGATTTCAGCTGGGGAGGGGGGGGAAGGGGGGGTTGTGGTTGTAGGGTTTGATTTGGGGTTTGTGCCGGGGGGTGGGGGGGGGGGGGTCAGGGCGCTCGCCAAGAAATGAGAGTGGGAGCAAGCATTGTGCGGTCCGTGCAGTGAATCTTAGGGTAGTTACATGGTGCCTTAGTATGGGCTCTTAACAGGGGACCCCTTAAACACCCTATACAACCCAAGGGCCCATACCTCAGAACCCTTTAATGAGGGTAAGGGACCATAGTTTGGGACCAGGAAACTACCCTTAGAGTGGAGCGACCTCCCTCCCGATTATGACGACTCATGCCGCGCCGAGCTCTTCAACCCTGAACCCTGAACCCTAAACCCTAAACCCTAAACCCTAAACCCTAAACCCCAACGTCAAACGGACCCTCGGAGATATGTTAGCATAACCATACGAGAACATAGCAAGGCCTCAGGGCTTGCGGGTGGGCCCCCGGGCTTCATCAGGCGCACATGTAGAGCCCTAGAATCCAAACACCACAAACATGCCCTACACCTTAAACCCTAAACCCTAAACCCTAAACCCTAAACCCTAAACCCTAAACCCTAAACCCTAAACCGCCTAAACCCTAAACCCTAAACCCGAAGCCCTAAGCCCTTGGCCCTACTCCTGAATCCTAAGCCCCAAGCCCGATGTCGACGCATGGCTCGGCCTTCGGCAACTTTGGCTCAAAGAAGGTTGGAAGCCTGAGTCCGGCGAAGGGGCTACGGATTTTCGGGGGTTCAGGGTTTAGGGTTTAGGGTTTAGGGTTTAGGGTTTAGGGTTTAGGGTTTGGGGTTTGGGGTTTGGGGTTTAGGGCTTGGAGTTTGGGGTTTGAGGGGGTTTCATGTATTGATGGGTCCGGCTGAGGGGGTTCTACTGACTCCAAATTTATGGAACCTGAGCGGGGTAGTCACCTCGACCCTGCTCTACTCTCCACCCACCCAGTCGGAACACCGAGCCAAAATCCATGTGGTCACTTTCCTAAAGTCTGGTCCCTTTGTGGGGGTCCTTATTAGAAGGCGGCCCCTCTTATTTCTGGTACCCTCAAAGGGACAAAGGGACCATAATTTAGAGAACTGACCACGTGAAGGCTGGGGGAGCAAATGCGGCCTGCTTTTCTGGCCCAGCGGGGATTGGAGTCTGGACACGTTCTTTTCTACGATGGCCATCAGCCGGGCGGTTACGCCACAGGGGCTTCCCCTAAGGGTCCACGCACCGAGAAAAACAACTTGGCCCCTAAAGCTACTATATGGGCACCCCTTTAAGGCCCAAGTATATACTATATAGGTACATGGACCCTTTTGGGTTCGAGTACTCAACACCTCCCAGCACGCGTCAACGTGGGCAGTGACGGCGGCAGTGCGCAAACTTGAAGCCAAAGTCTCTGAACACTTCGTCCGTAGCACAATTGTTTAAACTGAACTGCGCTCTTTAAGCTTTAAACTCCATGTGCAGAGCCCAGATTTTCCCTAATATCACCGTCACTGGAGTCATGTTGAGTGGGCTCGAAGCCAACATTCCGGACCCGAGGAAGTGCGTTGAAGCGAATTGAAGGGACCGTGCCGCCGAGCAGAGCACCGCAATATGGGGTCTTCCGAAATTAGAGGGAATCTTGCTATTGGGGGGTCTAGCTTAGGGGTGCCTTCTTTTCGGAAACCCGCCATAATGGTAGGTTTCGGGTTTAGGGTTTAAGGTTTAAGGTTTAGGGTTTAGGGTTTGGGGTTTAGGGTTTAGGGTTTAGGGTATAGGGTTTGGGGCTGAGCACCAACCCGTCCTGAGGCTACCTTGCAAGTAAAACCTCTTGAGAAGTTCTCCCTTATACTAGCAGTCCTTACTGGGGGTTATAGTAGGGGGTACTGTAGTCCCGATTAAGGACTGCTAGTTTCAGGGGGAACATCCCCGAAAGCTCTAAACCCTAAACCCTAAACCCTAACCTTTAAGCTTTTTGGTCTTGTCTGGCTGAGGTGCTTGATTCCATGCTCGTCTCACGGCAAGGCCCGTCCGGTAGCTTCGTGCATGAAGGCGCTGTGGAATGCCTGTTCCAACGGACTTCCCTAAGGATCCATGTGCCTAGATAGTATATACTTAGGCTTGAAAGGGGTTTAGGGTTTAGGGTTTAGGGTTTAGGGTTTAGGGTTTAGGGTTTAGGGTTTAGGGTTGAGGGTTGGTAAATACTTAGGCCTTGAAGGGGTGCCTATAAAGTAGCTTTAGGGCCCAAGTATGTACTATACAGGTACATGGATCCTTTGGGCTTGCTCAGAAGGACCTCCGGCCAAAGAAACCCTGACGACAACAACAACTAGGGTTTAGGGTTTCGGGGGTTTAGGGTTTAGGGTTTAGGGTTTAGGGTTTAGGGTTTAGGGTTTAGGGTTTAGGGTTTAGGGTTTACCCCAACAGCCCAAGTCGTCCAAATCTACATAAGCCTTGCCCAGAGGGGGCGTTTATGGCATTCGAGTGCTACTACGGAAAATAGGTTAACCAGAAACAATTATACTATTTGCTTAAGACCCCCGCCCCCCCCTCATAGGGATTATTGTCTTGTGCTTTTCGGGGGGGGGGGGGGGTTCTGAAGCAAATAGTAGTTATTGGTACGGATGGTACGGATTTACCCTAAACCCTAGACCCTAAACCCTGAACCCTAAACCCTAAACCCCAACCCTAAACCCTAAACCCTAAACCCTAAACCCTAAACCCTAAACCCAAAAAGCAATGCGTCTGAGAGCCTGGAAGTTTTCTTAACGGGTTTGTGTATCTGTCAACTGCTTCACTTCATGGACAACCCGCTGGGCGAAGGACGGGTCTATTCGACTACTATCTTCCTTCTACATCAGTAGCGCAGCAGGCCGTTCTTGTGGGTGGAAAACCCACCACATGTGCGCAAACCCTAAACCCTAAACCCTAACCCTAAACCCTAAACCCTAAACCCTACACCTCTCTGAGACCATGAAACCCGAGCCCGGGAAACTCAGGGACCATGACCCTTTTGGCGATGCCCTTGCCAAACCCTAAACCCACTGTTTCTGGCAGCTCCCACAGGCTGTTGAGGCTTTAGGGTTTGGGGTTTGGGGTTTGGGGTTTGGGGTTCGGTCTGCATGGGTCAGTATTAATGTGCCTAGGCGAGCCCTTCACTTTTATGAGCGCCGCGTAATGCGGCTAAGAGCTTCTTATGGAAATGAACCCTAAACCCTAAACCCTAAACCCTAAACCCTAAACCCTAAACCCAGAAAGCCAAAACCTGACCGGTGCATCCTTGGTGTGAAGATGCATAGACACACAAGCTGTGGGCGAAAGGGGGCCTCACTGGCCACGGAACACATTCTCATAATGGGTCCGTGGCTTCCTCGCGGACCAGATGAACCTAAAATTTCCCCTATACTACTATAATCCCACTGAACGTATATGAACCATAAACCTTTTTGGGGCTCATTTCGTCCTGAAGGTTGTGCAACACGCACATCCTGCGTGCATCTTTGTAGAATAGAGGCGCCGAATCCTGCAGGCCCTGCAGGAGGAGTGTCGCGATGCTCAGCTACCAGGAGGGACACCATGAGCAAACAAACGGTTTAGGGTTTAGGGTTTAGGGTTTAGGGTTTAGGGTTTAGGGTTTAGGGTTTAGGGTTTAGGGTTTAGGGTTTAGGGTTTAGGGTTTAGGGTTTAGGGTTTAGGGTTTAAAGGGACGCAAAATCGCAAGCTATAGCACCTGCAACACACCCCGTTGCACCCCGAAACATACCCCGGAGAGTCCATATGTAGTTCTATTCTGGGGTTAGGTACCCAACAACCCCATGTGGCATGGCTTCGGGAACCTGATTCCATAGTAGCCCAAAACCCTAAATTCTAAACCCTAGAGCTTCTAAACCTTAAACCCTAAGTCCTAAAACCCTAAACCCGAAACCCTCAACCCTAAACCCCAAACCCTAAACCCGAAACCCTACATGGACCCTTTGGGTGCTGTAAAACCATGGGTGCAACTCCCGGATAACTCATCTGCCCAAATCAAGCGGCACAGCTGTTCATAGCCGCTTGTGACTCGGGGAATTCCAAGAAGCGGGCAGTTTTGAAAGGTGGTACTTCCTCTAAACCCTAAGCCCTAAGCCCTCAACCCTAAACCCTAAACCCTAAACCCTGAACCCTGAACCCTAAACCCTATAAACCCTAAACCCTAAACCTTCTCGTGGGCATTCCGAGGCTGCCCCCTTTCGGTCTCCCCGAAAGAATCTCAATCGCTGCGGTTGAGCTTGGACATCTTCCTTTCCGGTCTGGGGTAGGGTTTAGGGTTTAGGGTTTAGGGTTTAGGGTTTAGGGTTTAGGGTTTAGGGTTTAGGGTTTAGGGTTTAGGGTTTAGGGTTTCGGGTTTCGGGTTTTGGGTTTCGGGTTTCGGGCTTAGGGCTTAGGGTTCAAGCTCAGTCAGCATGTGCATCTCCTTCGGGCCCAGGCCCCCCACCGCGCAGACACGTGGGCCCCCGAACAGGCAGGCATCAGAGGCCCCCCAATAGTTGCTGCATAAAAAGACAATGGTTTAGGGTTTATAGGGTTTATAGGGTTTATAGGGTTTATAGGGTTTATAGGGTTTATAGGGTTTATAGGGTTTATAGGGTTTATAGGGTTTATAGGGTTTATAGGGTTTATAGGGTTTAAGGTTTATGGGGTTTAGGGTTTGGGGTCTAGGGGGAAAGTGAATAAACAATTGAAGCACGGACCTAAAAGCGGGCCCTGCTTGATATAGCACAACACCTGGGAGCCAGTTTACGGTTTAGGGTTTTAGGGGTTTAGGGTTTAGGGTTTAGGGGTTTGGCGTTTAGGGTTTAGGGTTTAGGGTTTGGGGTTTAGGGTTTAGGGCTCAGTCTTTGTGAGTTGAGGGCATGCCTCGTTGGTCTTGCAGCAGTTGGGACTTTCCAAACGATAGGGGCTTCTAATTTAGAACAGTCGGTGCTTATATTGTAGCATTTGGGAGTACACCCTAAACCCTAAACCCTAAACCCTAAACCCTAAACCCTAAACCCTAAACCCAAATAGCCCCTGTCGAGTTTCGGCCTCGAACTGCTACCCTGAATGCATTAGTATTCTGGTGCATCTGAACGAGATGCCACGTTCAACCTCGTGTTGCAAAAAGCTGTCCGAATTCTATCTAAACATCCCCCCAAACAGAAAGCAGGTATGAACAAACCCTAAACCCTAAAACCTAAACACTAGCAATCAGACGTTTCGCTGGTCTGCCTCTGTTGGTTTGTGCAGGCCGTGGGAGAGGAGCTAGGCCCTGAGCAGCGGCAACCACTAAATGCTAGCAGCGTGCCATGCCGAAGGGAAGCCCAGGATTAGGGTTTAGGGTTTAGGTTTTAGGGTTTAGGGGTTAGGATTGTAAGGGCTTTGGGTTGAAAATGAGAATAAGGGACGACCTCTTGGCACAAGATGATCTCGGGTTCTGGGGACTGTCTGAAGCATATCTCACTGGTGCTGACATTTCGGCTTTCTGCTTGATGCTCAAGATGCAACCTCTTAGCCAACTCGCGAACACCAACTCGTGATGCTCAACCATGTTGAACCATAACGCCACACTTTCACCCATGATGACCTCATGCGGGGGGGTTTCCGAAATTAGAGGTCCTTATTGGGATCCTTACAATAAGGGAATCCTACTATTAAGGGTGTATATTAGGGGTCTATATTAGGGGTCTATATTAAGGGTCTATATTAGGGGTCTATA